CTCTCTCTCTCTCTCTCTCTCTCTCTCTCTCTCTGGTGTCTTCTTCCGCATACGACCTATGTAACATATTTATTTACATACATCTCAAATGCCAATACTGAGTACTTAGTATCGTATGTGTTTAATACGTAGCCGTATTATTTAATATACACTACTTCTTTTACAAGGAGTTTGTAACTCAAATAATTAAAAAAATTACGCTTGCATTCAAAGTTCTGTGTTCGAATTCCCTGTTTTTTAAAATTACCCGGATAAAAAAGAGAAAAAAACACACACTACACTAAGTACTTCCCTCTTTCTCACACTGTGTATATGCATGAACCCACAATATTAATTTATACCATATGTTGATTCGCACCCTTGTTGATTTATCCCATTGTTGGCATGTTTGTAAATGCTTTCACGACAACAAACTACAAGAATTGCTTATTTTACGAAAAACTAGAAATTAACAAAAGTTTTCTAATCTTAAACTTATTCACAAAATTACTAAATCAACCCTCTAGTTGGTCCCTATTAATTTTAATTAATTCAATATTAATAGGTTAAAAAATTAGGGTTAATTTAGTACTCCAATTCTAATTTGTGCACGCATTTTGGATCTCTCTTTTATATTATATTTTTTCTCAGTAAATTTCATTAGTAACTCTTACTTTAAACACGTCTATCTCTCTCCACACCTTTTTTTTTAATTTTTATTTTAGTAACAAATATGAAAGAAATTCCAACAGAGAAAAAACAAAAAGAAAGGAGATAAAAAAAACAACCAGACAAAGTAGGAAATAAGACCACATGTGTCATGACCAACTCACATTTGAGTGGTGGGAGAACCCCACTTGGTGCTGAAGAGAGTCAACCACTCGGGGTTGGAAAAGGCTTTGAGGAGAACGGCTAACTGGCTAAGGTCTTTTTAGAGGGGGGAAGGAAAGTTAGGCACAAATTTATGATCATTAATTTGGAGCCATAGAAAATAAATTACGGGTGTGTTTGGGTCATTAAAAAAGGGGCTTTGGAATAGAAAATTATTTGATTTTCGTCAATGTTTAGTAAGTCCAAGTATATGAGATAATTTACTGGCATATGGGAAAAGAGAAGGGAAAATAAAACCCTCCTTCCTTTTATGTGAAACCTAAATATGCAGGCGGGGAACTCATTATTTAGGAAGGGTAAATCATTTGGACAATTAAATAAAAGTGGGACAAATTTCAGTGCTCATACGACTTAGTTAAATAACACAGATTAGCTCATAAGAAAATTACTTTCCTTTTTAATTAATTAAGAGTTATTTACACTAACACCCCCTCAGGTTTTCAACTTTTTTCACAAAATCCTCCTGAGATTTTAAATTGTTTCCACAAAACCATTTTCATTGATTTTTCATCCAAAGATTGATGATTTTATATATATATATAAAAAAAATATTCTCCAAATGACAAAGCCGAAAACTTGAAAGGATGTTAGTATAAATAACTCATTAATTAATTATTGTTTTTTTGGCCGTTAGACCATAGAATTTGAAGAAAAAATGTTTAAATAAAAGTGCAGGAATATTATTATAAACAAGCGAAAAGCTTAGTTAGTTGATGTGGTATTACGTACCTAGTTTAGTATTAGCAGTAAGTGCTAAAAGCCTATTTGGATAAAAGTTGTTGGACTTCTAAAACGTCCTACATAAGTAAAAAAAATTGAAAAAAGAAAAGGAAAACTCTGCCCCTCAATCATAGGAAAAAGGCCGATTGAGGGGTAGATAAAGAAGAAGCGTCTCTTTCCCTCTTTCCCTCACCACCCCCTCTTGTTTTCTTCCTTTTTTTGGGTTGTGGCGGTGCTCTTAGGTTTATGGTTGTTTCGGGATTTTGGATGTTTTGAATTTTGTAGGCTTAACTTCATATCATGCTTAATTTTAGTGATGTTTCTCCGACCTCTAACATAACTATTT